TCATATCTGTCGACCACTTCTGATTTCCTTAATTGTCGCTATCTGCTCAATGTTCTAGTGGCCGGTGTCTGGTCCCATGCCATTCGACCTTATCCCCACTAGACCGTCCAGCAAGCCGGTCGGTCTTCTTCAATTAGCCCTATAAACCGGTCCAGTATATAATATCCCATATCAATGTCGATCCTTATAATTTTCAATTCAAATCTTTCATACGAAAAAACCAAACTATACACACTCTAATAGTGTGCATATTAAAAAAGTATAGTATATATACGAAAAATTATACAGTATATATACCTGCAATTACACAAACAACAAAAGGTATAAATATACTACATATATACGGCATATATATTGTCTGGTGGAGATGAAAATCGCGAGCAGGGAGATCGAAGCCCTAGGTCACGGTCGCCCTTCGTCTCCTCACGCCGCCTTAAACATTCGCGAGCAGGGATCCGGAATTTCAGTTCACACGTAAGGCAGAGACCATCGAGAGCGCCGCCGGCGGTGTAGCAGACGACGCCGTATAAGTCTTCATAGCAGGCGGAGGCGTCGACGGGGGGGCACCCAGGAGGAGAAGACGAGGTCGAAAGGGTCGGGTTTGATGCCTTTTCTGAACTCAAGGATTGATCGGACCTTTTCACGGGAGGCGGAGGCAGGGCGGTGGAGGATGAGGAGGAAGAAGGTGAGGGTGAGAGTCATCGGCGGTATTTGCGAGAGAGAAAGAGAGAGTTGGATACGTTTTCCCTAATTTAAGGAATATCTTATAACCTTATTTATGTTGAATAATAGAATTGTCACCTGTTTGTAATTAAAATATAAGATTTGGTAGATTTGCTAAATATTTTTATTACCTCGTAATAGTGCAAATAAGTTATTGTGGGGTGGTGTCAGACGCAATTTCCTTATTTATATACGCCCTTGAATAGTGGGCTTAAACTTGATTAAAGTTGTTGAATGAAACGAGTTGCTCGTGAGTTATGATGGTAGGCCGATTTATCAAGTCGAGCTCGATCTTGTTTAAGTCTCGTTCAGTTAGTGAGAGAGCTCGACACATTAAGACTTGTTAAGCTTGATAGGTAAGGATTTTTCTATAATTTTCATATTTTTATCATGTATAACTCGTCAAAGATCGATCTCGGCTCAAATGATATACAACTCTAAAGTTGATTAATTGATTATTAGAAGATCAAGAAAGTCCTATATAATGACAAGTTAAATGTTGAGTTTAGAGGGGAAAGGGAAAAAAATATATGTATCTAGATGTGCTTTGTTTGCAAAAACAAAATTTACAACACATTTTTTTTTTTTTTTATCGGCAAAAGTAGAAAGTGCAATTTAATTTTGCAGTCGAATAAAACTAGCTAGACATCGGATTGGATGAGGCAAAAATAAAGTAAAGTGAAAAAACGTGGCCAAAAGGCCGTTGTGCCGAGTGACCACTCACACCGAGTGATCGTGGGTGACGGCTCACCAGGTCAGTTCGGTCGATCGAATCGAATTAGGGAATCAACATAACCGAACCATATTATGCCAAAAATTGAAATCGACCGAATTATCTATTTAACTGAAGATTAAGCGAAATAATTTCTTAGTCGGTTTATCGTTTTGGTCAAACCGAACAAACTATACATTTTAAAATATATATTTATATGTATTATATTATTATAATATATATAATATGATATATAAATATATATATATATATGTACATACATATATTATTTGGTTGTTTCGGTTATTTCGGACATTTGATGTTTGAAAACCGACACCGACCGAAATAACAGAAAAATCATTCGACTAAAACCGAAACCGACCGAATCGGATAAAAACCGAACCGAAATTTTCGGTTCGATCGGTTTTTTCGGTTTTAGTCAAATTATACACACCCTTAATTGAAAGAGACCCAAATTTTTTGCAAGTTTTTATATTAAATTTTTGTGGGCAAAATTTATGTTTTGTACTTCAAGTTGGCCTTATTCAGAAAAAAGTACATTATTTAGGTACACATCAAACTTAATATATATATATATATATATATATCGAATTGTTTAATTAAACTTATCATGGTCTGGAAGTGAGCCGAGAATTGAGTTCGTGCGCATAAACTTTGGATGAAAATTTGTGTAGGCAAATGAATTTTCATCATACTAAAATTTTGTGGGCACGATCATCTCGATCAGATGAATCCAACGACGGGTATGTTGAAACGAATATCGAACTAGGTCTGAATCGGGCCGAATCGAGAACGACTCAAATTACTTTGAAGGAACATTTGAGTGGGAAATGAACTCCTATTATGCCATATGATTGTGTAATGACCCTCACACAAAGAACAAATAATTTGTGTCCAAAGTACCTTGGATGGAAACAAATTAGGCATATTAATTAACTCCAATTAAGCTTAAAGTTTGTAGACACAATTCAATGAGAAATCTAATGACACAAATAAAATAATAAAAAATCCAAAAAAAATAAAAATGCACACTTGTTGTGATGGGTGTCATTCTTAAAGATGGCATCAAATGAACCCTGATAACAACCAAAAGAAACATTACATATCATATGAGAGGCCAAGAAATATTCAAGTGCACAATAATAATAATAATAATAATAATAATAATAATAATAATAATAATAATAATAATAATAATAACTTTTACGCCCCGACCTAAGAGATATATTAAGTTTTTCACACCGATCGTTAACAATTTAATTTTTTCACCTCGGAAAATACAAAGGTTATTCAAATAGTTCACATATCAGTCGCATTAGGAAGTGCCAATTATGCAAGTACCTTGGCATTTTTAACTTTCGCACAATTCCCTCTATATATAATTCTCGAATGTGTTGAGCCTAAGTGACAGGCTCGCATGTTTCGGAATCATAGGTGTCAAAATTCAATGCTTAGTTATTTAGCTTGGATAGATTTTAATTTAATTCCAATCCAAAACTAATTAGGTTCGAATTAGAAGATCGACTTGATAGTCTTTATCCCCACCGGGATAGTGGGAATCTGATTCATTGATTTAATTAACCATAAATATGTTGATTTATTTATGATCATTAGATGTATTTAATTGTATTTTAATATGATTTCCTATTATAACTATTGAATTGTAAATGTATTTTACAAGTTGATAATTTTTGTATTTGTTATCGGTTTACATATGTAATGTATCATATTAATTATCTTTTGATGAGCTTCGATTTGACATCCATATTGTATATATAAAATAAATAAATTATATTTATCTTTACAATAATAAAAAATATTTATTAAAATTAATTAAAATATAAAATTATTTCTCAATTGATATATTCATGTTTAATGTAGTTATATGTTATAAGTTAGAAAAATTATTATAATGTAACACATGTAAGTCGCACAAGTAACAAGTATCATTCTAAAATATAATATATATATATATATATATTTATAAAAAAAAATTTAAATTTTACCTACTTAATTTTTCTCATTAATTTTAAATTTTAAGAAAAAAAAATTACCAAACACCCGTGTAAATACACGGACATTGTACTAATTATTATATAATTCAGTGTACCTATACCTAGGTTCTAAGTTGTAGTCAAATTGCCCGTTGAATTAGGCCAATACAAACATAAAGCCACTTGTATACATGGTCTTGTGGCTAGATTTTTCATTTTTGGTCCACCAAAAGTTGAAGAATAATAAGCATCCTCCATGTAGTATATATACCACTGATTAAGGTCTGACCAACAAAAAGCAATATCAAAGGTGTCCCAATGCTTAATGCCAAGTGCAGAAAATTCATAAACTATGTTATAGACTATTAAAAAATAATTTGTATTTTTATCCCTTTACTTGTAAGTATAATAGTTTTTAAACCCATCCCAAAAATTGACTCGGCCGGTCTTCGAATCACCGAGTCAATTACTGAACTGGATAATTAATTTTAATTTTTTTTAAAAATATGTATATATAGTATTTTTGACATATAAATATACATAAAAGTAACAGAAATAAATATTTTGTATATAAAGTTTGTACATCAAAGTGTTAACAGAATCATATTTCACAATAAATATTTACCATATCAATATATTTACATAGTTTTTATTTTTTCATATAAAAAATATTTAAAAAAAAAAAATTGGCCCGGTTGAAAATTCCAATGGACCATTTGGACCTACTTTAGGTGGGACCAATGGACCCAAGACTAGAACTTTCTGGACCAAGTTGAAGAGAATTGTCCAAGTCATCATCTTAGATAATCAAAATCATGTCCAAGTTAAAAGAAAATGAATTGCGGTCACTCCAAGTATACTAACGATGTAAGATAGTGACATCCAAACGAATAATTTAGATTGGTTGGTCTACATTCGAATAAATTTCTTCAAATTGTCCAAATAAAGATTGGGGTCAACTAAAACTATAAATAAACTGAGTCGAGTCGAGTTGAACTCAAACAACTGATATTCAAACTCAAAATTGAATTTTTATCGATCCAAGCCAAACCGTTAACTAAACACCTCGGAACTTTAACAAACCATAATTATTAAGCAGTTCGGTTCGTTTCGTTTCAATAGTTTTAAACCACACTACTTATGTGTATGATTTTTTTTTTTTTCTTTTTATGGTCTTCTTTTAATTTACAATATCCTCATTTTCCAAATGCAGTAGGCAAGTTAAGAACGCCATCCACACAAAATAAAAGTATTTTTTTTTTTTCCTAAGTTAAACATTAGAGGGAAACATAACTTGAACATCAAGCACATATAATATACAATATTGTTGTGGAGTTTCAAACATAGGAAGATGATAAATAATCACCACTCGAAGAATAACAACACAGTTTCAACCACATCACCCATGGTTCACTACTATATTTTAAATAAATAAATAAAAAAAAAAACCATTTGAAGAGATACTATATTTGCTAATTACTATAGGAAATAAGTTGGAGGTCCTTTTTTACCTAAGCGCATAGTTGAAAAAAGAGTCGTTGCTAAGCACTTTAACTTCCGCAAGCCAAACACTCGTCACGGTTGGCCAACGAGCAAACCATCTGAGCCTTCTTGGACTCGTCATCGACATCAGCCTCCACCTTGAGCTTGACCTGAGAAAATTAACCATCTAATTGTTTAGTTTTATCTTGTATTTTACTAATGTTAACTACAAAATCTGCACCAAGGCCTAAGGCAGTAAGGTTTAGCTAATTATAAAAAGCACCCAACTGTCTTTAAAAATCACAAATGACCCTGTAGATAAAGAAAATATGTGGCCACTTAAAAGTGTTCTTGAAGATTCGAAGCAAGATTCAAGCGGAAGATCGAAGAGACCCTTTTTATATTTGTTTCTTATATCTTACAAAATTGCATCATCAACATTAATGGTTTTTTTTGCTTGGGCACACACAAATTTACGTAATTGGACTAAACCTCACGGATCGGATTTGTAATCATCTCATTGATATATATACCGGTGGATGATCCTTACAAAAACACCAGTCAAGAGCTCATACCTTTATCATGGTTGTATCGACTGTGAATTTGATAGCATCTGCAGCAGCTCGTGATCTTAGGTAGTACATTCCAGTCTTCAAGCCCTTCATGTTCAAGTACACGGATAAGAAAATCACAAGACTCATTAGATTTGACTCCAAAAATCAAGTTAACGAGCAAATTTCAATTTTAATTTTTAAGAAACAAGCAAATTCTGTTGTGAACTTGCCCTAGACCAAGCATGGAAATGCAGGGAAGTTAGCTTTGTGAAGTTGGGCTGATCCATGTGGATGTTTAAGCTTTGACTTTGGTCAATGTAACATCCACGGTCAACGGCCATGTCAACTAAGACTCGTTGCTTAATCTCCCAGACAGTCCTGGAAAAAGAAAGTGATCAAATAAATCAGAATGGAATCTACAAGAAACAACAAGGAACAATAATTTGTAGATCCCACACTGCAAACACGTACTTGTAAATCCCTTTAAGCTCTTCAGGAATCTCTGGAATCTTTTGAACAGAACCATCCTCATAAATGATCCTGTTCTTGAGAGAAGGCGACCAAAGACCCATTTCGGTCAAATCATGTAAAAGATGCTTGTTCACAACAACAAACTCACCACTGAGAAAGATAAAACACAAGAATTAGTTACCATAGCAAACAGAAGGCAACTAAAAATAGTGTAATAAAATAAATTTTAAAAGGACGAACCTTAGAACTCTGCGGCTGTAAATATTGGAAGTGTACGGCTCAAAACACTCATTGTTCCCAAGGATTTGGCTTGTTGATGCTGTTGGCATAGGTGCTATGAGCAGTGAGTTTCTTACACCATTATTTGCTATCATAGCCCGAAGAGCATCCCAATCCCACCTTTCTGTAGCCTTTACTCCCCACATATCATGCTGAAGAATACCCTGGAAAAAATTCAAAAGCAGTGTAATAATCATATAATCTTGGCCGCAGAAAACAAACATCAATTCTCAATTGGATGTCTGTAAAAACAGTAATTGTTAAGGGAACTGAACTTGTTCTACAGGATTGACTATTGAGAACCTAGAACTTTTAGTTGAAATTTGCAGTTTTAGCCCCATCAATGAAAAACCTATTGTCACATTTGTAGTCCCAAAAAGGGCCAAACAGAAAACTAAAAAGAAAGGTTTCAGACATACTGAAAATGCAGAAGAAAATTTCTGTGACCATAATTATAACTGTATTTCGATAGTGTCACAATATTCCAAACCACCATGACATGCAAAAAGCACACTGATAACCTTTAAATGAAGCAAACATGACCGACACGTCAACATCATCAATTCTAGTTATACCTTGCTAACAGGACTGCCACTATATGTTTCATATGGGCCTTCTCTAACAGCTAGTTCACAGGATGCCTTTAGAGCATGGTAGTATATGGTCTCAAATATATCCTTGTTCAACTGCTGAGCCTGCAGTCAGTATCAATAACTATAAGTAACTCAATCGATTAAAATAAAAAGAGCATTTGAAACACTCCAACCACGGCTTTACCTCAGGGGAATCAAATGCCATCCCAAGCAAGATGAAAGTGTCAGCAAGGCCTTGTACCCCAATACCAATTGGTCTGTGACGCATATTAGACGTTTTTGCAGTTTCAACTGGATAGTAGTTGATATCAATTATCTTGTTAAGGTTTGTAGTAACTATAGCAGTGACCTGAACAAGATATCATAATATCATAAAGATCTTTCAGAAAAGAAAAGGGACAAAAAAAATAACACAACAGCACTAAGAGCTGAATGGTAATACCAAATAATATACTACATACCTCAGCCAGCTTGTCAAAATCAAAATATCGGTTATTAGAGCCAATGCTGCCAACAAGTTTTGATGGTTGTGCTTCCACGGGTACACCCTGAAAGAGATACCTAAAGTAAGATAGATAGATTAAATATGGATAGTAGTTAAAGGAGTAACTAAATCATGAATTGTCAATAACGACCTTCTCTCTGACATATCTTGGTAGAGCAATTGATGCCAAATTGCAGACAGCAGTTTCAGTAGGACTTGTGTACTCAATGATCTCAGTACACAAGTTAGAGGATTTTATGGTGCCAAGATTCTGCTGATTACTTTTTCTATTGCAAGTGTCCTGGAAACAATAAGTAAAATATTGTAATGTCAACAAAATGTAAGACCTAAGAGCACCCACAATGCATTGGGTCTCTTAATAAAATATCCTATGCCACATAGGAAATAGACTTAGTCTATTAGAAAATGCCTCCCAATGCAATTAAAGGTGGACATGGTCTAGCTTATGTGGCAATAAAAAAAAGAGACCAAGTACACACTTAGGTCTATTTTGGACCCAAGTACAAACCCAAGCACTTATCATTTATTCCTCACTTAGATTTTCTTTTAATAAATGAAACATATTAGAGCATTTTTATTGGTTGGCATGTATGCTAGACCTAGTATTTTATTTTTGCATTGAATAGCTTTTGAGTTTTTTTTACTGGGGTTTGTCCATGTCATTTAGGACTTAAGTCTATTTATATGCCACATATGTAAAATTAGACCCAATGCATTGTGGGTGCTCTAATTAAAAGGATCATAAAGTTAATTCAGAACAACCCTGAATCTTATCCATCTATACTACCTTATACAGCATATAAGGAGTTCCTGTTTCAATTTGAGCTTTCAAGATTTCAAACCAGAGATTCTGTGCCTGGACCACCTTTTTGGCCTTTCCCTGAGTCCAAAAAAACATAATTTCAGGAACAGCCAATAAACATAAAACATCATGAATTAGCTCCAAATATGCCATGTATAAGATTTAGTATACCTGTCTCTCATATTTAGTGTATAAAAGTTCAAATTCTTCACCCCAACAATCAGCTAAGCCAGGAGACTCATTAGGGCAAAACAACGACCATTGTCCATTAGATTGAACTCTTTGCATAAACAGGTCAGGCACCCAAAGTGCATAAAACAAATCTCTTGCGCGGTGCTCTTCCTGTAAAAAGATGGAAAATACTGAAACATGACAAAAAAAAAAACATATATACAACTATATTATATAAATGAAACATATTTTCATCAAATAATCCCAACTAATACCTTTCCATGGTTCTTCCTCAAATCAAGAAACTCAAAGATATCAGCATGCCACGGCTCTAGATACACAGCAAAAGCACCTAATCAAGAAAGGAGTAGAACGTCAAATTGCTGTCCAATGCAAGTGAAAACAAGAAACAAAAACTAATTAAAATAAATAAAAAAGAATAAAAAATATAATATACCTTTTCTCTTGCCACCACCCTGATCCACATACCGGGCTGTATCATTGAACACTCGAAGCATTGGAACAATGCCATTGGATGTTCCATTTGTTCCACGTATGTAACTCCCAGTAGCACGAATGTTATGCATAGACAGACCAATTCCACCAGCTGATTTGCTGATAACAGCAGACTCCTTTAGTGTATCATATATGCCTTCAATACTATCATCTTTCATGCATATCAAGAAACAGCTGCTCAACTGTTTGGCATTGCATGGAAAGAAACCTCAGATCTCAACCAACAACCATAGTCCTTTTGGATAGTATATAGAATCAAATATTCCCAGAACAAGAAATTCATTCACAAGTCACAACATGATAATCTACAAACACACACATACAAACATGCTCATTAAGAAATATATACACACTAAGAAGCAATTTTCATAATGATCTTACCTGTGGTCTCGGTGTACCAGCATTAAAGAGGGTAGGGGATGCGTGAGTGAACCATCTCTGAGACAACAGATGATATGTTCTTATAACTGAATCTATATCGTCTTTGTGGATACCAACAGCAACCCTCATTAACATATGCTGTGGCCTCTCAACAACTTTCCCCTGGATCTTTAAGAGGTAAGACCTTTCAAGGGTTTTGAAACCGAAGTAGTCATAATCAAAGTCTCGGTCATATATGATTTCACTGTCCAGACGAGCAGAATTCTGTTGAGAAGAAATAAAACAGAATTTACTTGGTGATTTAGAAATTCCACAAAAGCAAATGTAGTTGCCTCCACCGAGAACTCATATTTCCCCTCAAATTGAAATGGTTATACTCATTTCTCTTTAAAATTATGGCCAAACTGAACACCATATGGACTACTGCATACCAAACAATTTTGATGAAAATAAACAAAAACATATAAAGATACAGCCCACAGAAATTGCTATGGTTACATAAATCCATATACAATTTATCAATTTAGTACAGTTACTTTGTCTTACATCCCAAAAGTTTCTTTAGCCATGGAAACAATACTATTCTCTTTAATTATTTGATGTAATAAATGAAATGATAGCTGAGAGAGAATACCCTCATTATTATCTCATAAACATCATCTGCAATCAAAGGAGCTGGTAGCCCTGCTCTATCGCTGATATGATTATACATGTCTCTGATCCTGCAAAAAATTACACAGTCAAGGTAGTTCGAGAAAGAAAAAATTTGTTTAAATGCAAGCTTTTCTAATAAAAAATAAATTCGCTTACGTTTCAGAAAAAGATTTCTTTGTATTCTTGTGAAGATTTGAGACTGCAATCCTTGCAGCCAACTGCAACAATAATAAAGAAAAAGAAAAAAAAAAAAGAGTCAGCCACGCAGCACTTAAATAATAAGCCGTGTACCAAATACTATATAAATATCACTTCAAACTCTATTGAATGCTCAACTAGTATTTGAGCAAAACTCTTTATCCTACTTGCAGGCTTAGTGCCATATCTATAAGACAACTGGACCGAAGAAAAATCCGAAGAGATTCTTGTAAATATCTTCAACAGCCTGAATCTCATATTAAACATAAAAATGTTTTGTTTTTCAATCTATCCCAAATATGAAGACTAACATATGAACTAGCACATAAATCAGGGCACTATTCAACATATAAAACATAATTAAGCAACAAAATTTGTCAATTTCATCATCAGCTACACAGTCAGAAATGAAAATATTCAGCCAAATCACCAACAGATGCAACAACCACAATCAGTGACACAAACTGCAAAACAGCCCATCACATAAACCACTACCAATTAACATCACAAGCAAAATCACACAGATCAAACGCAATTTCAAACCGATCCCACATCAAATGACGATCCCAAACTCACAGAAGCATAATCCGGGTGATTCGCAGTCATGGCAGCCGCAGTCTCGGCCGCCAACTCATCAAGCTGGCTGGTGGTGACGCCCTTGTAGACCCCCGCGCAAACCTTCTGGGACACAAGGACCGGGTCGCAGTGCTCGCTGCTGAGCCCATAGCTTAGCTTCTTGAGCCTCGCCGTTATCTTGTCAAAGTGAACCGCCTCCTGCCGCCCGTCCCTCTTCACCACGTACATGTTTCAGGGGAATTTCGTCAAACAGATTGTCTGCAGGTTCACCGGCGAGTAGTCAAAATGAGGTGCGATTTTGCTGTTAACGAGTTGTTCTACCTGTGGGTGAGTGGATAAGGAGAATTTCGATGCACATAGCCTTAAATGGCGGTAGGGTTTTCCCTCTAAATTCTGTGAATATCTTTTTTTTAAAAAAAAAATTGTTTTTTCTGTCTTTTGAAGTTTTCCCGCCCTAATTCGTGAGAGAGAAAGGTCAAGTGGCGGGGAAATGTGGAGCGGCATCAAAGTAACTACGTGTTGATATCCGTGAAATGTACGGGGTGCAATACAAAACATATTTTTTATTTAAATTAAAAATTATTTAAGACAGTATGAAATTATATTTTCTACAATATTCTATTCAGTAATAATATAACTTTTATTTATTTACTATAATTGTTAATTTCTATTTTTATATATTTTTTTTTGTAGTTTTTGACTATTTAATATATAAATTTTATTATGTACAGGTTAAAAATATATTTTACATGTATAAGATCATATGATATTTGCATATAAATTATTTGTCTGTACTTATAAAATTTTTGTTTATCGTAGTCTTTTAATTTTTTTCAACAATTCATAATTTGTACATTTATTGATAATTGACCAATGTTTAACTCATAATATTTATCTTTCGCTATAATTATTAAGCATATTAAATGTTAAAAACTTTGATAAATAAATTTTAATTTTTAATAACTTTAATCCTTATGCAACACACAAATTTTTTATGGTTATATATTTTATTTTTATGTTTTTATTTTTCATTTATATTTATTTCTTTAGTTCTTTTTTTCAACCTATATAATGGTTACATACTATATATTCGAATATAGATATCCCAGTGCGATGCACGAGACAAAGATATTAAATGAGTTATCTTACAGCCTTGTCCGTTTAAGTTTAAAAAGTAATTTTATTATCCATTTTCTACCTCTTTTAATTAACGTTAAGTTTAAAAAATTATTAAGCCGTCTTCTGACAAATATGTATGGAGTTATGTATTCGTGTCTCATAAGTCACAAACATTATGAATAACATTACAAGTTATTCATTCAAACTTTTATTTGTTGCAAATATATTAAAATAGTTTATATAACAACCATTAAATACCACTTTCAATATATATAAATAAAATGTACATAAAATTTCTGGTGTGTTCAAATTTAAATAATTTTTATGGGCTCAATTTTAAATAATCCAGACATTTGGTCAAACGCATAGGTGTGTTCAAATTTAAATCATTGGCATTTTGGTCGGTTAAAATTTAAATCATCTACCATGGTACTGTGACGTGCATTATATATATACAATTTTTTAAAACAATTAACTAAAATAATTAAAAAAAATTTGATGGAAATAGAATACATTAATTACCTTTGACTTTTCTTACTACTAATTCTAATAAATATAATGCATTTTTATATAAGTATAGATTCTATAATTGGGGTTCAAATCCAATCATTTTTAACTCAACTACTTGTTTTAACTCAACTTTAACTCAACTCACTATCATCAATATTATCAATATAATTAAATAATATCAATCAATCATTCTTACACACAACATCAACCTTAATTTACTATTCATCTACTCACATAATTTTAACTAACCATCACATTACATATTCTCTCTCTTACTTTTACATCAATTTAATTTTAATCATTTTATTTTAAATATTATTTTAATATATCCACTAACAATTAACCATACTAACTTTTTTAAATTTAATCAACCCAAACAAAAAATTCAATCAAAACAAAACAAATTTATATCCAAGCATGCTCTAATTACCGAACACTAATAACGATATATATAAATCAAATCCTACAACCTATTAAATAAAATTAGAGCTGGAACGAACTTATTAGAGTTCAAATTTTTCAGTTTTTCAAACCTATTCGCCAAACCTATTTATTAGATTGAAAGATAGATCAAAGAACAAAGACAACACTCAACACATGAGGAGAAAGGAAAAACCGCGCAAAACTTTGTAAATCGAAAAAAGTGAGTACAGAGGAGGTGTTTGACCTATTTATACTTAAGGTTGTACAAGGATATAAAGGTAATTACAATATAAGCTATAGTTGTTGTTTTGCAAACAACAACTTTACATAAAAATGTTTTTACATTAAAACAGCAACTTTGCATATACATTATTACCCCCCCGCAAGCTTCGCATGTATATTTGTCATGTGAAGCTTGGACAGTAAGTATGAAAACCGAGGTCCTGGTAGGGCTTTTGTTAAAATATCTGAAACTTGTTCTTTTGTGGCCACATGATGCAACTGAATTATGCCAAGGGCAACTTTTTCCCGAATTAGATGACAATCAATCTGTATGTGTTTTGTACGCTCATGGAAAACAGGGTTAGTAGCAATGGCGATAGCAGATTTGCTATCTGAAAATAAAGGGACATGTGAAGTATGAGGAATTTTAAAATCATCAAACAGATAAAGTAACCATTGAATTTCACATGTTGTGGATGCAATTGCCCTATACTCAGCCTCAGCTGAGGATCTGCTTATTGTGGACTGTTTCTTTGATTTCCAAGATATGAGAGATTTGCCAAGAAATATGAAAAAACCAGTATTGCTTTTTCTAGTGGAGATGCAAGAAGCCCAGTCACTATCACAATGAGCATTTAAGGAACGAATAATTTCTAGAAAAAATGATACCCTTACCAATTGTACCTTTGATGTACCTCAAAACCCTATGAGCTGCAGATAAATGTTGGGTTGTAGGCTGTGACAGAAATTGACTCAACGTTTGCACACTGTATGCAATGTCAGGCCTGGAGATGGTCAAGTACAACATCCTGCCAACTAATCTTCTATAGGTTGTAGGCTCAGTTAAAGTGTCAGTTGCAGTATATGCAGATAATTTAAGAGTTGGATCCATGGGAGTATTTGAAGGTTTACAACCTATGAAGCCAGTATCAGTTAATATGTCCAAAGCATATTTTCTTTGGCACATATTTATACCTGACATGCGTCATATTTACGTGCATTTTATAGTGATTTTCTTGTCCGTTTCGTCGTAGTTTGATATATAATTAGTTATTGTTTAATTAGTTATTATATAATTAATTATTTAATTAATTAATTTTATTAAGCTATGACGAGGTGTTGTATTTTAAGTTTTAACAGGAAACTGGGCTGAAATAATTTTTGGAGTCGAAAACTGTGCGAGTCTTGCATTAAAACGGACCCAATTAAAAGGAATGTGGACTTTTGGGCCGAATAAGCAGCTATCAGGGCCCACTATTTTGAAGCCAGTGACATGCCATAATGGACAAAAAGAAGTAGCCCAATTGCTAAACTAAGTGAGGACATATATGTAATGTTACATGGAGAATTTTGTTTGGAGCTTCTTCTTCATACGTACATACAGAACTCGTCTGCCATTTTTGAGCTGGAGCTGCTCGACCAAGCCCTTCACCGGAGCTCCGATGACGACCTGGAAGCTGAGATGATCACCCACTACGCCGTCCAGACCACCTCTCCGTCCTCCGCTGCCATCCTTTCACCAACGATAAGCTTGAAGTTGTTGTCCCGCCGGAAAAATCGCAGACCGCCGGAGCTGCCGGAACTTTGCCTTATAAATCGTATTACGATGTCCTGAGCCACCTGGGATATTAGAAAACGCAACAGGAGACGTGACGTGCGCGAAAAGTGAAGATTTTAGGCTCCCAGGTGCACACTAGTCGTGTGGGATAAACACGACTCGTGTCGTTCCGATGGGTCGAGAATCGAGCTCTCGGCTTTTTCACACGACTCGTGTGGCTAGAGACACGAGTCGTGTGACCCTGGGCGCGACCAATACGGGTTTCACGCGTTTTTCCTATTTTTTTGGTATTTTCGACCTATTTCGACTAGGACTCGACCTCAACTATAAAAATAACACTTGGACACGTTTTTGAGGGGTGGAGAACCTAATTTTCAGATCTTTGGAGAGCTTTGGAGGCTAGAAACACGAGCAAGACGAGGGAGAAAGCCCGGGAAGAAGGGATCGACGGAGCCGAATAAGCTTTTTCTTTCTTTTTCTTTTCTTCTTTCGAACTCAATGTTTTATATTTATTTTGAAAGCATGTTTCTAGGATAATTTATTTTAGATTCTAGGATTTGTTAGTACTCGGATTGATTTATGATTTAGTTTTTTATTTGTTTCATTCCGGTTTATCTTTCGTTTATGAATTTCTTTTGCGTATTTTTATTGCGTGAGTAGATGGCCACTATGAATGCATATTTGTGATCAATTTGAGACCGAGAGGAGATAATTGATTGCTAGAATTGGGAAATTTATAACGTGAGAGACTAAACAGACCGAGAAGTTGATAGAATCTTACGAGAGAACGAAAATCCTAGGAACTTATGGGAGTTAGTTGTTCATCTTGAGACCGAGAGGAGATAGATAACAATCAATATCTACGATTTACTTGTTCGAGAGAAAAGTTGAAATCAATTTAGTGATTATCTCTACGATTGGTAAAATTAAATAAGGTTTGTATGAATATAAACGTTTCATGAATTAATTCCGAGGAAAGCAGAACCTAGAATCTATCTTTTATATCTTGATTTATTTTTATTTCTTTAGGTAAATTAGTTTTTAGTTTAATTTTATAGTTTAGAATCATCATCTCATTCGTTAGTCTAAATAATATTTAATCATCATTATTTTAGTACTTAATTAATTTAACTACAATCTCTGTGGAATACGACCTTGCTCGTCACTACCTATAGCTACGCCGTACACTTGCGGATAGCAAAAATAAATAGCGAACAAGTTTTTGGCGCCGTTGCCGGGGATTGTTTGTTGAATTAATTAATATTAGAAGAAAGCGAATAGATATTAGTTTAGACATTTTTTATCTTATTTTATTTTTCTTTTTCTCTTTTCTAATATTTTCTTTTTTTTTTCTTTCTTTCTTGCGAGATTACAATGGCTGAGCAAGTGGAACTTA